CAAGTGGAAGGAGGTACGGCTGGACATTTAGATGAACACATATTCAAAGGGTGAAAACTGTGTTTAGAAAATCGCTGCTGCACAGAGAGGCTGATGTCTTCACCCACTCTTGCCGTACAGTAACAGATATCAAAAAGCTCAAAAGCTCAGTTTAAACCAGTAAAGTTCAAAGTGTGATGACCGGTTTAGAGTTTGCGTGAAGGCTGAAGTTTGATGAAGTTGTGAGACTTCAAATAGGCGTGGGTTCGAGCATTCCTCTCGGCTCTTTCCCAATTTTCTTTAGCGGGAGAAACAATTTTTGGAAAATTCATGCAAATGTTCACTACCGAAAGATGTAGTCAGCTTAAGAAACATAATATTAGTAGTCGTGTGTGATTTAATAGTGATGATAATAATAATTATGATAATGGTAATGTAATCCGGACATACGTAAGGATGGTGACTGTCAGGTGTGTAATGGAAAATGGTTCTGTCTTAGCACATAAATTGGTTTGAAACTACATCATCTAATTTAGTGTCTTCATCTCTCTCTGTACGTTCCTCTCGTCTCTCTTTGTATTCATATTTTTCTATCTCTCTGCCCCTCTCCGTCTCCCCCCTTTCTTCTTCCCCTGACTGTTCTGCCTTAGCCTCCCTAACACCAATTATACTGTGTCAAATCCATGCATGTCAGTTTCCAGATCCCTAATCATCCCTTCTCTCTTTCATCTACAAATCCTTTGTTCCTCCCTCCTCCCCCTTTTCCCTTCTCTGTAACCTTTCTTCTTCGCTCCTCACCCTACCCCACCCCTCCGTCTGCACCATGTACACACAGCCCATCCTCCTCATCCTCTTTCCATTTATCTGTATCACATTTACCTTCCCATCTTCCTTTGAATTTTTTTTCTACTCCAATTTTATACCTCTCTCTTTCTCTCCAACTTGCATAAATGCACTAGAAATTTTGCTATTGATTTTTATGTGTGAATAGTCACTTTTCAGTGAAAGTTGCAAAGATCTCACTAGGTCAGACCATGTCGTGTGGTTTTCTGTAAAAGGCGTTGTTACACTATCTAGCTGCTATAGCTACTTCACAATAAAAGCCTCTTGCTGGTTCACCATTGGAAAGCTTTTAAAGGCTAAACCTGGTCTGTGGAAAGAAGGCCATTAACATTAACTTCCAACACAGAACCTCCAGCCCGAATGATAAAGTAACAATGCAACCTTTGCTAGGTTTTTTCTAATCAGAGCATTTCTTTAACAGTAACAGAGCAAGTCACTGGCTGTCGCTCAACACTCGATTTTACACATGAAATTCAGTTAACTTGTCACAAGGAGTTCTACTCAGCTTGTGAAAAGCTGTAAAGTCTTCTGTGGCTCTGAGGGGAAATTTTCCAAAGTTTACAAAAACAAGCCTGATGATCTCATCGGGGTCATATCAGATAGGAGACTTAAACATTTTCTGAAGAAAGAGCGTTACAAACCGAAGATGTGGAGTTTGAAAGACGAGGGCATTTAGGAGGCATGGAGGGTTGGATAGAAGACTCTTTTTGACTTTTTATTCATATAAATATATAAAATCTGCCTCATGTAAGTCGGACAACTTAATGGGAGTGAATAAGTGCTGTTTCCCAGAATGTTAAACTAAACCTTGAAGGTCCTGACACAGAAAATACAGTGGAGAGAGGAAATTTTTTAAAAACTTGGTTGTTTTGATAAAATATATGCTAATATAGAACACATTTAAGAAGTTACTGGTGGATTTTTATACTATTCATAACTCATTTTATTTTAAAATTGACAATTGGCTATGTTCTGTCTGATCATCAATAGTTCATGTGATGGTCAAATGGTGCACCCCTAAAGGAAGATCTGTATTTGAATGGCAAAAAAAGCTATTAGTTAGTGCATCCAGCAGTGTTACAGATTCCACGTCTGAGAAGTCTCCCCCACTCCCTGTCTGTTTCCCAGGCAGAAAAGACACATATGGAAAGGTGTGTGTGTTGTGACTGTAGTAGCAGGGGGTAGGGGGGAGGGGGGCAGGGCTAAGCGAGGGAGAGAGCTGGAGACAGGGCGAGGGAGGTAGGGGGAGGGGTTTGTTTATTTCTGTTGTGTTTTTTGATGGTAACTGCGCCTCCTGAGCCCACAGGGGGAGAGAGGAAAGCAGGGAGACACAGAGAGAGAGAGAGAGCGAGGGGGACAGAGATGATGGAAAGCGAGAGAAGATGGTTAGCAATATGAGCGGCGGCCGAGGCACGGGAGACAAACGCGGCAGAGGAGGGAGGGATGGACGGACACACGGACGGATAGAGGCAGAGCGCGTGTCAGTCTGCCGCTCGTCGCCCAAACAATGAACGTGCTGTGGTCGCTCCCGGCAACGCATCGTCACGGCAACCGGAGCCAGAGGGGTGCGCACTGAGCGAGAATGGCAGAGAAAGAGAGAAAGAGGAGGAGGGAGGGGGGAGGACCGAGGAGAGGTAGAAAGAGAGATGGTGTCTTCCCCCCCAGTAGATAGATCCTTCCTCTGTGGGTCTTTACATGTATGTGTATGTGTATGTGTGTGTGTGTGTGTGTGTGTGTGTGGGGGGGGGGGGTTGTTCTCTCTGCTTGATCATGTGCGTCTGTGTGTGGTCGGTGTGTGTTAGCGGCCAGTTGTCTGACACCATGATCTTCTGTAACCATCTAGGTGAATACAAGAAGGATGAGCTGCTGGAGGCTGCGAGGTGAGTACCAGACTGTGCATGCTCTTTGTTTTCCTTTCATTTTCCCTCTTTCTTTCTTTCTTTCTTTCTTTCTTTCTTTCTTTCTCCTGTTATCATGTCCCCCCCCATGTGACATCTTTTCATGTGTTTTTTTTCCCCCTCTTCCTTGTTCACCTGTTCAGTTCTGTCTCTCCTCTCATGTCTTGTTCCCATGCTTACTTTCTTCTTCGCTCCTCTCCCGTTCATGTTTCCTTTTCCCTCTTGTTTCCTTTCTTCTCTCCTCTACTCTCCTCCTTTTTCAGCCTTTTTTCCTTTCCATATTTTTTTTTTTTATCATTTTCTCCTTTTCTCTTCGCTCTTCTTTGCCACCTCCCTTTCCTCTCCTCTCTGAACCACTTTTATTTTCTGTTTCCGGTCCTTGTTTCTTATCTTCCTCTCTCCTTTCTTGTTTTCTTGTTTCCTCTCTTCCCTCTCTGCTCCTATCTTGTTCCTCATTTCCTGTCTTTTCCTCTCTTATCTTTTTTCCGTGTTTCCTCTTCTTAACTTTCTTCTCTTTTCTCTCATTTCCTGTCTTTTTGTTCTCCTTTCTTGTTTTTATTTTGTTTCATTCCCTCTCTCGTTTCTCCTATTTTGTTTCCTTTCTTCTCTTCTCCCTCTCTCTTTGCTTCCTCTTTGACTTCTCTCTTTTGTTAATTTTCTTTCTGCTATTGTTTGAATTCCATCATTTTCTGCCTGTTTATCACTTGTTCTTTCTTTCCCTCCATAACACACACACACACACACACACACACACACACACACACACACACACACACACACACACACACACAGCTCCTACACTAGACAGGTGTTTCAGATCCAGAGAGCTTAGTACATGTGGGCCAGGGACACTTGTGCATGTTATGGTTGCAGGGAGTGCATGTGGGCAATGTGTGTGTGTGTGTGTGTGTGTGTGTGTGTGTGTGTGTGTGTGTGTGTGTGTGTGTTGTGTGTGTTTTTGTCTCTTGCATGTGGAAATGGCATAGCTCTCGTTTGGGATTGTGTGTGGGTGGCTGAGCGCTCTACGCCTCAACAGCCTTCCTCCTGCTCTTATTCTCTCTCTCTCCTCTCCCCCCCCTCCCTCTTTCTCTCTCCCAAGTCACACACACACACACACACACACACACACACACACACACACACACACACACACACACACACACACAAGGAAGCAGCTGGCTTAGCATAGCTGTACCCCAGTGTATTATGGGGTCAGCAGGCTGTTTAACTGTGAACTGTGAACTCACTGTGCCTCTATCACAGCTGAGCCACTGACTGGCTCATCACCAATGTCATTTTACAGAAGAATTTCTTTTCTTTTTTCTGTGTTGTGTTTGGTCAAATAACTCCCACACATGGCTTATGGGATATTGTTGTTTTTCTGCTTGATATTTTTCCTTGATATTTGTGGCCCAGATAGCATCCTTGCACAGTGGTTTAGAAGAATAATAAGTAGAACTGGTAAAATGGTTCTACATAGTCTGAGAGTAATGCAGTGAGTCATTGCATTGACTGGAAAAAAAACAAAACAATCATTGATGTTTATGACAGCGAATGTATTACAGACGTATTTCTGTCCCGTCAATCAAATCTGTCCCTTGAAGGCTGCCAGTCAGCCGACAACAAATAATCAAGTCAAGTCTTTGCTGATCTGGGTCCTCTCTTGTGATTTGTTAGCTGTAAATATTGGCTCGACTACTTAATTTTTCAGATCATTAAAATATATTTTAAGTTAATTTAAACACAGTTAGTGAGGCTAAATTCTACCCAAAACCTATAGATTTAACATTTTTGCATTATTTGCATTTGCTTTTTTCGGCAGCTTTGGCAGCATTCTGTAAACACAACAGTGGCACATTATCACCTCATAAAGCTGATATGAAATCGTATTTATTTACACATTCAGCGGAGACATTTTCACTCATTTGGAGTTGTGTCAGGAAACTTGCATGCTTTCATATCACGTGAGGCCAAATCTGTGCATTCTGATAAGCATTCCCTCAAGCGTAGGACAGGAACTTCATAATGTCTAACTTGCCTTATGAACTCATTGATCCTTTATCTGACTGAGGTTTGCACCCGTTAGATGGCCCCAAGTCCCAGACATGACTCTGAAATATCACAAGGCTAACTGGGCTGTGTATTGACGTAATGACATGTGTTGAAGTAAAAAACTGATTTATAATAGCATCTTTTTCTCTCAGTCCCACCCTCCTGTCAGTTTTGTCTTGGATCTATGATATTCTCTCAACTATAGCCTGCAGTGGGTTACTTAAAAGAACCAGTCGTTTCTTTGCTAGGGTGCTGCCATTGGGTCATCCGCCTTGTTAAAAAATAATAACTGAAGTTATCAAATAAATGTAAGTGGAATGAAAAGCACAGTAAAATAAAATAGAGATACTAATATTGGAAAGTGCAAGTACCTCAAAATTGTATTTAGGTACACAACGTCACTATGTGTACTTTGTTACTTTCCACCACTGGGTATCCCACAGTAGGTTCATATGAGCTTTTTTTTGTTGCTGAAATCATCTGCTTACTGCGTCAGAAAACAACACTGCTGAGAACCAGAACAGTAAAGTTATGACAAAACAATTAGCTGAAATACCTTAAAATGCTCCTGAGGGCTGAGGGAAATGGCAAAGTCAGGAGATAATATTCTGTGGGTTTATGCTAGCAGCAGCACCATTCATATTACACAGAAGTTATTTGAGTATTGATTAGAGCAGTTTTAACCAATATAAATGTTAAGTACCCTGAAGGCTGTTGTTTATCTCTTGGTACTCTCGTTAATATGCACGAGTGATAAGATGGAAGCCTAGATGGAAGAAGCAGTGAAGATCCAGTCACACTCTCACAGATTCTCTTCAGGCATAGAAATATCCAGCCATTGGAATGAGCACTGTCCCTTGTGGGCCACTGGAGATCATTTGTGTGACATCAGGCCTTTAGAATATTCACAATCACAACAGAAACTTTTATTGATTGCACCTTTTTTCTTTTTTTAAGTTATTTCTTTGCCCTTTTATTGCCTTTATTGTATAGTGACAGCCAAAGATAGACAGGAAAGGGGACGGAGAGAAAGGGGATGACACGCAGCAAAGGGCCACAGGTCGGATTCGAACCTGGGCCGCTAGCTCTACCGACTGAGCTAAACGGCGCCCAATTGATTGCACCTTTTGAGATACACTGATCCAAGATACAATATATGCCTCTGAATAAGTGAACTTAGTGATATTACCGATCCTGGAGCTGGTGCATTGGACCAACTTCAAGGAATAGTTTTGACATTTTTCGGGAATACACTTATTTGCTTTCCATCCAAGAGTGAGATGAGATGAGATGAGATCGATACCACTGTCACATCTGTCTGGTAAAGCTATAACATGTAACATTTGTGCATTAAAATATCTTGCACAACTAAACAGGTAGAAACAGCTAGCCTGGCACTGCCTGCTATATATTCTCTTCAAGAGAGCAAATAAATGTGTTTACCAAAATGCTAAGCTATGCCTTTTCAGCGCTCATGCTGAACAATAGCAGTGCACAGCAACACACAAAACACTGTCAGACTCAGGGAAAGCTCTTTTACTGTCCTTAATAGCCCCATTATAGCAAATAATACATTGTTTTGGTTTGTTCTGCTTTTTCTGACTGAGGAATATACAAGAGGTGGAGATGTTATTTAGTTTTTGGCAGTCACTGTGGTTCACATGTAAAAACCTTTTCTCTCTTTTGACTCATTTAGATTCATACGATTGTCAATTGGCTAGATGCTAAGCTGTGCTAAGATGCTACGTTAAACAGACAAGGGGGCACACACACATACAACTCCATGTCCTTCGTTCCGGTTAAATCCTCAAGATGTCGTTTGCATTGAAATGAAGGCCTCTTGTCCTAGGGTACCGGCAGTAGGAAGTGGCTAGTTTAACAAATGAAAGAAAAAGATTGAGAGAACTAAAAAAGGATGCTGAGCTATGGAGGTAAAGGTGAAGAAGAAGAAACAGAGGGTGGGAAGGGAGGGTAAAGGTGGGCAATTTGGACGAGAAGAGAGTGAGAGGATAGAGAGGACGTGAATGCGAAAGATACAGAAACAAAGAAAAGGAAGGAGAGGCCCAACCAGAAAACAAAAGTAAAAGGAGAGAGGGAGAGGAGAGGGAACATAGAAGAATAGAAGAATAATCCTTTTCTTTCCATCTGACAGCTTCTTCCTTTACGGCTGTCACAGGGATGATGGTTGGACTGGGTCGCTGCCTTGGCAACACTTTTCTGGTGGCCACCCAGTGCCAGGGCAGCGAGCCTAGGAACCAGGAAACACAGATCAACAACATAAACAAAGTCTTAACTCCTCTGTAGCTAGGCTAAATGGTATCCTCGAACAGATTTTTTTTGTAGCTGGTTGCACTTGTTGCACTCCCAACAGGCACACACACACACACACACACGCACACGCACCCGCACACATCCCTCAAACATTTCTTTTTGTCAGCCTGTTCCTACAGATGAAATTTCTCAGTCTTTTCCCTTCAGTCTCAAGCTTCTTATCTCATTCGCCCTCATTTTCTCCCCCACACTCTCCTGCTGAGGAACAGTGCTAATCCTTTATGGTGTTGGATGTTTCCTATCTGTAATGTGTGTGCGCGTGTGTGTGTGTCTGTGTGTGTCTGTGTGTGTCTGTGTGTGTTTGTGTGTGTGCATTCACAGGAGCGGAAACGAGGAAAAGCTAATGGCCTTGCTCACTCCGCTCAACGTCAACTGCCACGCGAGCGACGGCCGCAAGGTAAGAGCAAAGCAGAAAGCCACACAAACAGTAACGCAGTAACAATCTCATCACTGGCATTTTTTTGCACCTGAGGAAAGTCATTAGTTTTACAGGAACCATCAAACTGGTGCTTATAGGTGTTATTTTTTATTTCTAACAGGAAAGGGAAACAAACCCTGTTATTGGTGCTCGGTTGTATCAAATAATCTGAGCATTATCCAGAAAACATCGGTAGGCTTTCTTGGCTGTCGGTCATTAAAATGAATGGCTGGAGACACAAACCTGTCTGTGAATAAATTAGCACTCATGCTGAATGATAGCAGTGCAGAGCAACACACAAAGCACTGTTAGACTGGGGGACAACTCTTTTACTGTCCTTGATAGCATGATGATGGTGACGGTTTTTCTGAGGAATGTTATAAATGTAATAGTTTATTCAGATAAAGGAAGAGTGAGAGAAGCTGTGCTGAGGCCTTCACTTGGTCTTGGCCAGGGTTAGAAGTTGGATGGAGTTTACACAAAGAAATTTTTTACTACTTCTTTTTTTTTTTTTCTTGTCAGTGAATTATTAAGACCGTATTGACCATTGGGTGAACACGAACCTCTAACACATACATACATACATGCACACAATGAAAATAAAGAACTGCTCATCCAGCCTCACGTTGAGCCCAAACCCTCGAAGACTGGCACTAGCACACAAACTAGAGCTTTCTCATACACAGTAATCCACATTATAGCATAGATTTTTCTAAGGATCACAAACACTCTGATGTTACTCTTTGTAGTGTCAACACTGGGTCCAATAAAAAAAAAAAAAAACCCTCAAAGATAAGACTTGATTGATCAACAAAGGGGAAATTCTCATGTTGCAGCAGTCCAAGAAACACTCAGAGAGGTAGGAAACGGATAAAGAGCTAAAGCTATAAGCTACAAGCAATGTGTAATAATGTATATAACTTTAAAAGTTATATACATTACATATACAGGACTCTGTGTAGAATGTAATAAATATATACATTAACATACATACAACGTAATGTATATAATGTATATGTGTTGTGTGTGTGTGTGTGTGTGTGTGTGTGTATAAACATAGTCATTTTGTGGAAGGCCTGACCAACTTTTCTTTTCACCTTTGTCCCCAGTGTGTACAGGCAGCTCTCACTGGAAAAAAAATGGGTGCCACTGCGTTCTCCTGTTCTCCTAAAATAGATCCCTGGTTGAGGGGAGCCTGGTTAATTAAGAGCCACCCAAGTGTGGGTTCATTTCCGGGGCTGTGATGCACAAAGGCAAACGTATTGAAAAGAGGTTCAGTGAACTAGAATGAGCTCAGTTTTCTGAGTCCCTTGTGCAGTTGACCTCTGTGTAATACAGCGTGTGTAACCTATTTGTAATTAGGTGCATGTTTTGCTTGCTTGACAGGTACCAAAAATTAGATCAGTGTTTAACGGTCAGCTAATCCCGCACTTGGGAGTTGATTCTGGTGTTAGAGTTGCAGATTGTAGGGCGGGGTAAAAGGCTATGCTAAATGAAGTACACAGACCAACAGATGAAAGGACTCTATTATATAATTAAATAGAAATTAATTTGTGACCACAACATCCGCTCGTCCGTCCTTAGGGAGCCATGAGCCTCAGCTTGAGCTCTGCTGCGTCACAGCAATATGTCTGGCTTGTGACTGATTAGTCCCTCAGATCAGTAACTGGAAGACTTAACTGGAAGTTTCTAGTCGTGTATATTCCAGCTTTAGCTGAAGTACTCCCAGTAGTCCACAGTATCACTGTTTTCCAACCTGGCAGGAATACAGACTGCTGCTGACTCAGTTTCTTTTTTCTTTCTTGAGAGCTGAATGAGATTGAAGCTCAACTCTGCAGTAGCAATCGGTCAAACAGGTTTTGGGGTCCTTATTGAGTTCTCGTTTTCACTCTCTGTTGGAGCTTTACTACTAAACTATTATTCTTGTCAGAGTAGAGAAACTTCTGAAACAACATTTTGATTTTGGTGTGAGACTAAAATGCCATTATAAACCAAAACTACTGATGTATTATAGTCGGACTGACTCCACCTTTTTGCTGAGGTGCTAAAGTGGGTTTGTAGAAGCAAGCTATCATTGAGAGATTGTTTCATCTAAGAGATATGATTGGGCACAGACATTTTTCAGAAAACAGAAATTGCTGTAATTTATTGGTCTCTAAAGCTGAGCCCACTGTGTCTTATTGGTTGCCATGACAACTGCTGGGACAACCAGGGAGCCAAAGGGAGCCTTTTTACTCTGTACTCTTGGTAACTGTCATATACATGCTGTAACAGCCTTGAGGAGGCTCTTTCCTATAATTATGGATACTTCAGTGTTGTTGATGATGCTCAGCTGCAGCTTGTATCCATCATATCGCCATTATAGCCATAATTGTGAGAGCACCCTCTGGTTATTATCTGTGCAGGTGGCCCGCTGGGGATGTGATACCCCTAGGGAAAACCGTGTAATTTGAAATTCTTTGGAGATGCAGGGGACAAACACAAGAGATCGTCGAGAAACGTTGAGATTTAATGGCTCATAAGTAGATGAATGCAACCATGTCCAGAATATAAATATGGGGCTCAGACATATTCTGAAATGACCTCTCCGGCACTGTCTGTATTTGTAATGCTCTTTAATTGCTCAGAAAGCTGTCATGCACAGTAGATGGAATATATTTTCACGCCGGTGCAGTTTAATCCTCGTTATGGTTTTAGGGTAATTTAATGGGGTGATGGGGATTTACATTCCCACTGCTAACGGAAATTATATAGTGAGGCTGAGGGACAACAAAAACTTTCCCACTTGTCATTCTTGTCCTTTGACTAAGTCCATGAATGCTGTTCCTATACAGTGTTTCTCAAACTTTTTACACTGTGTATCACCTCAGAAAATAGTGGGCTCTGTTGTCTTGTTGCTACTTTCTTTCAGTCCAAATGTTGCTGTTTTTTGATCGTATCATATGCCTACGATACCACTGGTGGTACACGTACCATAGTTTGAGAACCAGTTTAACAATGGTAAATCAATACACCAGTGAATGCTCATCACGTAAATACTAGGGATGTAGACAAATATGAATATATATATTGGAGTATGAACAGATAATACGCTCTGAATAGATTGATTTAGTTCATCACAAATATCAATCACATCAGTCATAACATCAGAGTCATAATAGAAACAAATCATAAACACGCTGGGCTATAACTGATTCAGTGCAATTCTTACTAGTATTTTCCCCACTATTAAGTCATCCTGCTCTGTTTTCACTCTTCATTTCCATGTTGATCATTACCAGTCACACACCTTGGTGTTTTGAAGGTGGGGTTAAAATACAAATCGTGTTTGATATGATTAGTTTAGGTATGTGGTTAAAATGCGATGTAATTTGGCATATTGTGTAGTGTGATGACATAAAATGTGAGACGTGAGCCTTTGATTTCAGCGAGTATAAGCAACTGACGATTAGATTGTAGTATGATAACTACTTTATAACTTAATAAGAAGTGATTTAAAGTGAGACAGGTAATGGTGTGACGCAAGAACATTTTCCAGAATAGATTCATGCAAACTTGCAAAAAATGACACTGTTGGCTGGCACATATAGCATCACTGAGATTACACACACACATACAGACACAAACGCACACTCTGACACACAGACAAATTGTTATGAGGACACTAATGATAATCATGGACAAAACAGAGCGTGACAGAATCCTAATGATTGATAATAATGATGCTTCCCTTAAAATTAGACAAGAACCACTTCCTTCTCTTTCCTTGTGTGTGTCTCTCTCTCTCTCTCTCTCTCCGTCCTCCTCCTCCTCCTCCTTCTATGTTTCATTTTAATTAGAAGTGGCAGCGGCTCCCCTCCTCAACCACACACTCACATACAGACACACAGATATGGAGCGTAAATGTTGATTGCAGATGCCTCTTGGGGAATTTAAAAGCTCTGCTTGTACAGAGCGTACAGCGGTACACACATGAGAAGAGTGGGAGAGAGAAATATTATATGGCCAAATGTATGTCGACGCCCCTGACCGCATATTTAATTTTGATCTGGAAAAATGTTCCCTGTATGAGTTTGGCCCCTCAGCTTTAACTGAGGGGCAACAATGCTAAAGCAGGCAGGGCTATTTTAGGCAAGTCTGACACCAAATTTTTTGCCAACAGTTTGGGCCAATTTTCCCATTTCAGCTTGATAATGCCAATGTGCACAAAGCCAGATCCATTAAGAAATGGTTTTCCCAGTTTGGTTCAGAAGAACTTGAGTTTTCAGTAGAGTGGAGGCTACACGCAGACACACACACACACACACACACACACACACACACACACACACACACACACACACACACACACAAACACACACATTCACAGCTGTAATCCTAGTAAGAGCTTTTTTTTCTTATTATGCTGCTCTATATAAGCAACAACACTATAATAGCCGTGTGTGTGTGTGTGTGTGTGTGTGTGTGTGTGTGTGTGTGTGTGTGTGTGTGTGTGTGTGTGTGTGTGTTTGTGTTTGTTTGTGTGTGTGTGTGTGTGCTCTAGGATGATTGAGGGCCCATCAGAGTGGGATATTATTAACACAGCTGAGTGGAGAGCGTTATCAAGCTGCCGCTATTGAAACCTACCGCTCACTCCCCCACAGACACACACACACACACACACACACACACACACACACACACACACACACACACACACACACACACACACACACACAGAGGAGACGGACACACACACACACACACACACACACACACACACACACACACGAACACACACAGTTGTTCCTGCAGACTTAGCCTGGGCTTTCTGACTACCCACTGAAGACACACAAAGGCCACACAGAATCATTTGTTTTCCCCCTCTTTTTTAATGTTTCCCTTCTTACACACTTCAGCTAGACTGGCTGTCAGTAGTCGTGCTGGAAATGCAGCTTTCGCTTCGTTTTTCAGGGAATACATTTCATGTTTTGGAATCA